CCAACGCTGAGCTGCTTCCACTGCCACTGGATCCATAAGACTTTCCATCCTCTGGCCTGTGATCTTCCTGAATTCAGGACCATTGCATGTGTTGCATGAGTCTGAAGAGGGATTTATAGATTGGTATCGGACATATGGGCTAATGTCAGACTTATGGACTTGATCTGGACTAGGCTGGGATGTTTTCTCAATATTCAATTGTTCTTGTATATACAGCTCGTTCTTACATACATATGAGTCTCCTTGGATTTGTTTCTCTAGTCTACCCAGACTAACACATGTACTAAAGCAGTGGTTATCAACCTTTCTAATGCTGCAATCCTTTAATAGAGTTCCTCATGTTGTGGTGACCCCCACAAACATAAAATTATTTTCATTGCTACTTCATAACTGCAATTTTTCTACTGTTATGAATAGGACGACCCCTGTAAAAGGGTCATTTGACCCCTAAAGGGGTCGCAAACCACAGGTTGAGAACTGCTGTAGTAAAGTATTCTCTACTTTTTAAGTGTTTTGTTTCTTTTTAACGTAAGTGGAGGTCATATTTTCCAGAATTCAGTCCCAATATGGGTTGTGGGATAAATTGTAGTTAGTAAACATTTCTTTTTATATATGACAGAAATTTTCACTTGAATCATGGTTATGGAAAGTGAATTTTAGCTTGTGAAATCTTTTGCTTGATTTTTACATAACTCACAATAAACAAACCACAAATCAGGGGACTCCCACCTCCACCTCCCCGTTTTCTAGAATTTTAATTAAAAGGGTTCACTTTAATGTGCTAAGTGAAATATACCTTTTTGGAAAATTTCAAAACAAATCCAAGGAGACTACAGACTGTACCTCAGACATAATAAAGCAATGATGAAATCCACACAACCATGTGTGACCTTGGCAGAGATTAAGGTTGTGTTGATTCTGACTGATAATAATGCCACAGGATAGAGTAGACCTGCCCTGCGGAGTTACCAAAGCTGTCAACCTCACCTCTGGGTTAGCAGGGAAGCGCTTTTACCATGTGCCACCAGGCCATCATTGCTTTATTATGTCTGAGGTACAGTCTGTTTCAGGGTTCAAATGTGCAAAGACATGATGGCAGTTGGAGTTTCCATAGTGTAATCACTTCCTGGGGAGATGCCAATCTTGCCGAGTCATTCTTTTTTGCCTAGCTGGTAAAAGTCCAGTCAGTCTCTAGGAAAGCAGGATCTATTGCCTCAGTGCTCGTTGCACATGGTTCAAACGCGGTGCTAACTTTAAAGAGCATTTAGTAGAAGGATGTTACAGGTGGTATCACAACCACAGGTAGTGTTAGGGTTTTTAAGCTCTAAAAATGGTTTCTGATTTTACAATTTAGTTTTCATTACTGCTCAGTTCTCGTGGTCTCTCCTGTCTGTGGTGTGCTGCTTTTTTAAAAATTAGAACAGAAGAGTTTATTATTGTTTTTTTGTCATTTATAATGTTCAAATAAAATACTTTGATCGTCAATCAAAATAACGGGAGCCTGGTGGCACATGGTAAAAGCGCTTCCCTGCTAACCCAGAGGTTGACAGCTTTGGTAACTCCGCAGGGCAGGTCTACTCTATCCTGTGGCATTATTATCAGTCAGAATCAACACAACCTTATTCTCTGCCAAGGTCACACTTGGTTGTGTGGATTTCATCATTGCTTTATTATGTCTGCGGTACAGTCTGTAGGCCCCAGAATGAGAGCTAATTATTTCTAAGCACATATAATATTTTAAAATGCCTTGTGCAGGCCTGTCTTGAAGGTAATAAATAAAATGATGTATCAAGGATCGCTCTAGTCATAAAGCTTGTGGTAGTGTTCCTAGTCATGTTACCAGGTGGAGGAGAGGAAAGCATTCAGTTGAGTGGATCCCCCATACTTTGCTAACCGAGTGAGTTGGCCTGTGGTGTACTAAAGGGAGCAATGTCAAACATCTGATACCACAATTAAAAGATTGTTGATAGCCAGTTGATTTCCATCTCATAGACACGGTGTAGGACAGAGTAGAACCCTGTCTAGGTTTGCAAGACTGTATTCTTTAAGCAAGCACACTGGCCCGGCTTTCTCCTTGGTGGATTCAAATCGCTGGCCTTCAGGTTGGCATCTGAGTGCTTTATCCACTGCGCTACCAGGGCGGCTGCTTTGTGTACAGTTTGGTGTCTGAAATTAAGGAAAATGACGATGGGTAAACGCCCTTGCTTTTCGTAGGATTTTCCAAATCTGAGGACATTTTAAGTCTGCGAAGCAAGTGTTATGCCAGGTCATCTTTTATTCTGAGTGTTGAAACTTTCCAACTATGGAAAAATGTTAGTTACGGTTTGGTCTGTGCTTAAAACTAGCCCTTTGGCAACAGTTTCTGAAGAGAGCACAGGGAACACGGACCCAACCCTTTGGATTTAATTATTCATCGAGTCCATTGAAGGTGGATTTTCAACATATGCGGGATTCGTCTGGCATGGCAAACCTGTAGGCTTTCTTTATAAGGGCCCTGGCCTGCTCTTCCTGAGAAGCCTTTCCAGAGGAATATGCTTCAGAGTTTTCCTTTATAAAACGAAATGCAACTGTAGGCGTACTTACTCACAGCCTCCTCACAAATTGCTCTTCGATGCAGCAAGTGAATTGTCCACACCAGCCTTCACGCTGCTGCCAAAAGCAGTGAGGGCGGGCTGGTCAGTGTGCCCTTCCTCACTTGTACCCTAAGTCCACACTAAGGTCTGAGTTGGGAACAACTCCTCACAATAACACCAAGCCTTGGGCTTGAGTGGTTGGGATGGGTAGAATTTGTATGTAAATCTGATCTAGTCCTCATCTTGTGTACAGCTGGTCCAAATTAGAAACCAACTGGAGAGGTGTTAATACATACCTCCGAGATAGGAGAGAACCAGAGCTCTCCAGCGGTTCTCAACCTGTGGGTCGCAACCCCTTTGGGGGTCGAACACCCCTTTCACAGGGGTCGCCCGATTCATAACAGTAGTAAAATTACAGTTATGAAGTAGCAGCAAAGATAATGTGATGGTTGGGGCTCACCACCACATGAGGAACTGTGTTAAAGGGTCGTGGCATTCGGAAGGTTGAGAACCACTGCTTTAGGTATTTTCCTTCATTGAGGACACTCGATTGTAATTGTTAAATGTAAAGTTTGTTTTCTATTCCCACTTACAATATTTTAAATCAGATTCACTTAGAAGTCCAAGAGGAAATCTTATTATAGAGGTGAATAGAAGCATTAACTTGCCTTTAATATCTGGTAAGTTGTTGCCTGTCACTTTTTACTAGTAGGTTTAACAGAGTGAGGCAAACAACTGTCAGTTCAAATTGTGGCTCCACTTATTAGCAGCTGAGGAGCCCGGTGCCACAGTGCTGCCACGCTCTCCGTTACTCCTCCAAACACCTGCCGTGTGAACCCACCAGCCATTGGATAGGAGAAAGATGGCCGTCTGCTTCCAGAAAGAAGACAGCCCCGGAACCCTATGGGGCTGTTCTCCTACAGGGTCCCTATGAGTGGAATCAACGTGACAGGAATGGGATTTTCCTAGCCATGTAATATAAAACAATTTAAGTAAACTGTATGATCTTAAATTTCTCTATGATACAATGTAGATAACAAAGCCTATCTTGTAAGGCTCCTAGCACAGTGATCACTATAGTACAATGGTGTAATAAATAACTCAGCATTTAAAAAGACATTTCATTCATTTTTTATTCTGATGATTCCAAAATACACTTATTCATGCTTTCAACTTTCATGAAATTGTCCAAAACATTGATAATGTGGTTAATTATATTTCACTTAATTAAAAAGGAAATCTTTTTACTGGACTAATTAAATAATTCTATGTTGAGTAGTAGGAGAGCACAGGGATATAATTACAACAAAAAAAATCTATGTTTGTGTTCAGTGTATAATCTATTTGTTGCTATATTTTTCAAACAAAGAAATTAAAATAGAAGTTTATCCCTTTCTTTTTTCATAAGGTTGAATAATCATTTAAAACCATTTCCCACCCCCTCCCACCTAGAAGGGAAGCAACAATGCAGGTATTTTCAGATGAAGTAGTATGTAGGACAACAGGGATAATTTATTTTTCATTTTCTATCTTTCTGAAATTATTGCATTATCTAACCTTGCACATGTAATACTTCTAAAAATGTTAGTGGAAAGTACATGCAATAGGATTAAAGGCCATTTGTGTTTGTAGTGCTTGGCTTTTAGTTCTATAGTTGTGCATTAAAAGAACATGTACACCAATACAGAAAAGAGCTGAAACACAGGGAATTCAGGACAGATAAACCCCTCAGAACCAATAATGAGAGTAGCAGTACTAGAAGGTTAAGGGAAGTAAAGGAGGAAAGTAAGGAAGGACCAATCACAATGATCGACAAAGAACCCCCTCCCGGGGGAATGGACAACAGAAAAGTGAGTGGAGACAGCAATTGGTGTAAGACATGAAAAATATAATAATGTATAAATTATCATGGTTTCATGAGGAAGTGAGGCTGGGGGAAGGCGGGAAAAAATGAGGAGCACCCAGGGCTCAAGTCGAAAGAAAATGTTTTGAGAATGATGATGGCAACATATGTACAAATGTGCTTGACACGACGGATGGATGGATTGTGATAACAACTAGAAGAGCCCCCAAAAATGATAAATAAATTTAAAAAGTGATGAATTTATAAAAGAAATTAAAAAAAAATTAAGGAACTAGATATCAGATTTAAGTATTCAGGTCTCCAACCTTTTTCTTTTTCTTTTTTTTCCTATCCCCAGCATGTAAAAACTACGGAGTAGCCGGATTAATAGCTGAGAGCTTTTTAAACAAGAGCTAATGGGGGCCTAAATTACCTTAACATGAATATACTTTATTTGACAGAAGTGTTTCATTCGCTCTTGTTCTTGAGAATCAAGCCACTAAATAAAAGGAGACTTTTCAAAAGGTGAAGCCTTGAACTACCGAGTCCTCTCTTTCATTCTTTATTGTGTCGCACACATCCAGCAAAAGTCACCGTCCGAGTCACTTCTCGGCCGCGAGAAGAGATCGAATTCTCAGTCCTACATTGGACGACCCATTCAGCTGGACAAGATTTTGATGTCCAAAGTGAAGGTGCCGCACACCTTCGTCATCCACTCCTACACGCGGCCCACAGTGTGCCAGTACTGCAAGAAGCTGCTCAAGGGCCTTTTCCGGCAGGGCTTGCAGTGCAAAGGTAAGAGGAGTTGGCCACCCAATGGTTGTTTCTTGCCAAACTCTGAGCCCCTGAGTTAGTCAGTCACACACCTGCAGTTACAGTTTTGTTTGGTTTTGTTTACAACTTCTCTTTCTGATAAAGACTTGCTCCTATTTGTTTTGTTTCAAAATCATCACAATTAGATTGCCGATTCAACTGTCATAAGCGTTGTGCACCCAAAGTTCCAAACAACTGCCTGGGGGAAGTGAGCATTAATGGAGGTAAGTGACAGTCCAGAGCCCCGTTCTTGCTCCTGCTCTGTTAGAGTGTGGCAATGAGGACTCCGTGGACTTGGAAAATGGTACTATTTCCTCTTCAGTATGATCAGTCCACAGCAATTGATGGCCTGGTTTGTTCTGCTTTCTAGAAACTCTAGCTCATAAAAGCTTTGGGCAACCCCAAAGAGACCTTCTTGACCTTTACACTGTGGACAGCCAACACTGAAATCTGATGTCTTCATCAATTATCTCATTCGACATTCCTAGTTTGATCAGAAATGGGAAGGTAGTGGGAACGACCACACGTCTACCTTTCAACTGCTCTTCCCCTCCGCTTTACAAGCCTTAACAGAAGTTAACTTTTCTTCTCCATTTGCCAATGAAGGGAAATTCACAAAGTCTGTTTCCTCAGGATACAGTCACTTTCTTCCTTTCTCCCCCAGTTACTATTTCTATTTTATATGTGATTGTTAACTGCATGCTTTTATTAAAAGGAACTTTAATCCAGCCAATTAATATATAAAAAATATACCAATATATTATATACTATATTGTATATTCATGTATTATATTACATATAATACATATTCACATGATATATTGATTATAATATATACAATACATGTCCTTTCCTATTGTTCTTGTGTTGGATTCAAGTTGAATCCACACATAGCAACCTTAAAAGGCAAAAGCAGAACTTCCCCATAGAGTTTCCAAGTCTTTGACCTCTATGAGGCAGAGTGCCACAGTACTGTCCCAAGGAGTGGCTGGTGGCTTCAAACTACCAATCAATTAGATATCCGCAGACCCATCAACCAATGTGCCATACTTTCCTATATTTGGGTACATTACTTTAGGAAAATCTTAAGCTAGTAAGACTTTAACTTGGAAGGATTCCTAAGAAAAAATGCTATACTTTAAAGATGGTGGTTCGCATTATCTTTCAAGGTAGTATTCCTAATGGAAAACTACCAAGACATTTACTTAGATCCCCAGCCTAGTATGTTTTCCGTGATAGATCATGGGTAGTATTATATCTTAAGTCTGACATAAGTTTTTGAGACCACTGGGGGGAGACGGGGATAGTTCTAGGAAACCAGATGAACAAATTGAGCAATCTCCCTTCGTAAAATTTGGAAAAACAAATTTTTAATATTGTGCTTCAATTTTCTTCTCTAGAATAAATATATATTTGGAAAAAGAAGGGAGAATTCTCCAGAAAAGCCTTCCAACACTAATTTCTGTCTTGGGGGTTCATGACTTAGCTGTCCAAATGGAACGTTTTGTAATCTACTGAGATATGGTCAGGTTTCTGTTCACATGTGCCTGCTACCACCTTGTTCCAAGGATCTCCATGAGTCTTCATCTTCTTAGAATTAGGGATCCAGACAGTAAGTCTCTTCTGTAAAACTCTAGGCTCACCCTTTTAAACGTGCAAATATTTGTGGGGGGGGGAAAGGATACATTTTTCACTTATTCACGCCATATTTTGTATAGCTCCCTAGGGATTTGTTTCAAGATTGCCTAGCTTTCATTTAAGTTCCAGATCCCGGCGCCCAGGATGATCTTCATGAGTGCAAACCCATTTCCTAGATTTACTCGGCCCCGGGGCAGAGTCGGATGTGGTCATGGAAGAAGGGAGCGATGACAATGACAGTGAAAGGAACAGCGGGCTCATGGATGACATGGAAGAAGCAATGGTGCAAGATGCGGAGATGGTCATGGCAGAAGGCCAGAGTGACAGTGGGGACATGCAGGATCCGGACCAAGACCACGAGGACTCCACCAGAACCATCAGGTGAGGGCGACAGCCCATCCCTGTCACACAGCGGAACTCCAAGTAGATTTCATTTGCTAAGCTAGTTGGTATTTTAACCTGTTGCTGGATAAGTTGAAAGTGTGTGTTTAATTAATTTATGAATGAACTGTGCATTTACATGAGAGGCTTTGAACTTGTGAAGTCTGGATTCCCTCGGAGATGTATTATTTTGCATCCTTCCCTACCACTGCCTCAGTTGTTGACCCATTTTCCTTTGCTTATGAGAGATACACACATTTGCTCCCCATAAATATGCTCCCCATAAACAAAGTTAATATTTATTCAAAGCACATTGTATGGGAATACAAAATTCAGAGATCAACTCCAGCAGGCACCATGCATTTATTTTATAATGGACCTCTTTTTCAAATACAAGGAGGCTTCAAATAGAGAAATGGAATTAAAACGAAATGGACTTCTTCCATAAAAGTTTTTGAAGGCCCCTTGAGGCACATTGAAGGTCTAAATCTCACCAAATTTCAGTGTATATGTACTTTTATATCTGTGATCTGATTAGTTAATCTTTTTGATTACTAGATAATATCCATTTTTTATATCTGGTCAGCAAACTATAGCCACCAGGTCAACTCTGGCTACTGTCTATTTTGTAATTAAGTTTTATTGGCACACAGCCACATCCAATTTGTACTGTTCATGGCTTCTTGTGAACTCCAGCGAGAGTGTTAAGTATTCTGTAAAGCCCCAAATATTTATTGTCTGGCCCTCAACAGAAAAAGCTTTGTCAACCATTGAATTTTATTATAAATCTGACTAAAACTTTTGTTTTCATTTTGCTAATGGCTTAGTCTTTGGGAAACTGAAATAGTCCATGCACAAAGAGTAATAAATTTTTTATTTAGCAGTATAATAAATATTTTTTAACTACTGGGGAATGTTAAAGTCACGACCCAACTCTCTTTTGAAGACGTGCATTTCTTGAGTACGGGAGGGTTTAAGAGACTTGTGCACATGTGCTTGCGTTCAGGGGAGGTGGGAGTGGGAGCTGTGGAGAGAGAATGAAAGAGCAGCAAAATTCCACAAGTAATTGGGATTACATGATAGTTTACATAGCAGATTCTAGGTTTTTTAATGAAATATACAAAGAATACCATTCATTTGGATAATATAATCTGTCAATGACTAATAGTTTGCTTATGATAAATAATTAAATCAGTTTGCATATATGATTCTGAATACAGTAGCCTCAATCCACTATCACCATAATATACCTGATGTTTCCCAGAAAGCTGAACACCTTATAGTCCAATTCCAGAACTAAAGTACTTTTATTCTCATTAGCAGATTTTTAACATTTACATGTAAAGTGTCTATCATGAACCTAAATCAATTTGACAGCAGGTTTATCAGCCTAACTCAAATCCCAATGTTTACACCACCTTATACATCACTAAAAATTAGATCTGAATTTTTGGCTTTCAATGGAAAAGAACTGAAGTGGGGCATTTATGCATGAAAAGAAGATCTATATCTAAAATCATTTCTTTCCAAAATATTTTGACTTGTCAAGTCCATCAACAAGCAACAATATCCCCCTCATGCGAGTGGTGCAGTCTGTCAAACACACCAAGAGGAAAAGCAGTACAGTGATGAAAGAAGGATGGATGGTCCACTACACCAGCAAGGATGCACTGGTACGTTCGTTCGATAGTGAGCACTTTTCTACTGCTGGTGTATTGCAGGAGTTGCCAATACTTTCTGGGTTCTATAGGATATCTGGGTCTTGAGGAGCAGACCAGAGCCCAGTCTGCTCAGATATCAGATAGGATCAGGGGAAGCACCTAACCAATCTAGGAATCAGATGTAGTTAATCAAGCAATGGAGTGAGAACAAAATGTAGAAAACAATTTCTGGGAGATAAGATTCCTCTCCCTCTATTACATGAGATGATCACCAAATACAGTGAAAAATGCTGGCAGTGTTAAAGCGATTGTGAAAGCTGTAGTATGTACTCAGAATATGCTTTGTAATTCACAATTTTGAACGAAATACACTATAGAAATGCCAAAAATATGATTGCTATGATATAGTTCTTCAATAACTAATTATATATGCACTGATAAACTTACTCATTTCAAACCTTTGAAATTCAATTGAAGTCAGTTTGTTACTTACTCTAGGTTTTCCTCATGGTTGATGTGAAGGCAGAGTCTGTGTATGTGACAGAGAGAGAGAGAGAGAGAGAAAAGAGAGCGAGGGAGAAAAAGAGACTTGCTCTTCTTTTCAAGGTTACGTCAAGTGACAATTCATGATCATTTTCTCTCTCAAGCATTGTTAGAAGATGCAGTGGCTTAAAGAGCTTGGTTCAAACCCACCAGCTGCTCCAGGCAGACAGATGCGGCGGTCTGCTTCCAGAAAGACGTACAGCCTTGGGAACCCGATGCTATAGTTTTCCTCTGTCCTCTAGGATCGCTAACAGATGTCATCAACCCAACTGCAGTCGCCTTATTAGTGCTGCCTTCCTTCATCCGGCAGCAGCCCCATCATTTCTTTAGATAAATATGTGGGAGGTTCAAAAATTCTTTGGGAGAATGGAATTTTCCCACCAGCTTTTTGAACCCCTCTTGTACAACTGGTTCCCACACTATGACCGAGATCTGTTCCTAAGTGTGTCTTTCAGTCACATTTGTAAGTAAGGCTTATGGTGCTTATTTAACCTTTAGGGCAAGCAAAGGCCTCCAGCCTTTTTAATAATTTAAAAGCTGCATGTGCAGCAAGTGAAGGTGATTGTGATGAAAAAATTGTTGTAAACAGGTGTTGGTCCAATCGTTAGAAAATGAGGACAAATTTACATATCATTAAAATACGTTTGGCCCATAAGTTCATGTTGTAACTGAAGAACTACCTGTACTGTGATGGTTCCAACTGTAATCTTGACCTTCTTGGTTGGAGAAGAAGTTACCTGATTAAAATACATTTTATGACTTTAACAGGCCTGCAAACTCTTGTAGAAGGGGCCAGGAACAACAATGGATCATGTTGGTCTTAAAAGAGGAGCACACACTGAGAAAATGGTGTGAAGGCCATGCCTGCCCTCCTCTGGCTGCCCAAGGGGGAAGAAGAATATAACAACGCACCTGCCAAGGAAGAATTCCATGTGGCAGTGATCAGACATGCATACACCCTTCAACTTTCTTTGGGCTAGTCTGATGCCAACACTCCCCTATGCAGCTCCCACTTCTCTGCTGGGTCTGATCATCCAATGCAGTAGCCACACAGGACTCACAGACAGTACTCATGAGTATGGGCATTGTGTTTGTTAGGGAAGTTAGGGGACCACAAATCAAGATCAGAAAGCATTATAGTCCTTTTGTTTGCAAAGGCACCTTTTCTAAGCCCTGCTAGCAGGTATGTCTCTGTCTTATCCTCAGCCCCTCACCCACAGGATACCTTAGCATCTTCCCTTGTCTGGCAAGTGTTACAAAGCTATTTTCATACTGATTATACCCTACGAGCAAACCAGTCTCCTGCCCAAAGCACTCAGATTTACTCATTCCCTGGCTCACCGCTTCTCTTTCTTGTTGTCGGCTGCCTCCGTCATTCCTTCATAGTCTCTGCAGCTGCCACTTCTCCACACAGGGATCCTGGATACACACAGCTCATCCTCCTGCTGGCCATGGGTTTTCACTTCCCACTTCTGAAATCATTCACTTTATACTCCACAGAATAGCAAACTCGACTAATCCCCAAGGTAGTCGTCTATACTTTATTTGCATGCCCTCATCTAGTCACTAAAGGCGCCCTAGTGATGTTGTTCAGTAAGCATTGGACTGCTAACTTCCAGGTCAGTGATTCAAATCCACCAGTTATTCCATGGGAGTATGCTGAAGGCACTTGTTCTTATAAAGATCACATCCGCAGGAACTGAAGTAGTCCAGGATGCATGGAAAGCATTTGCCAGAATCAAAGCTCCAGGAATTCACAGTACCGGTTGATGGTTCAGTGAGCTGATGAAGCACTGGAAGCACTCCATTGTCTATGGTAGGGAATTTGGAAGACAGCGTGGTAGGGAATTTGGAAGACAGCGACTTGGCCAGTTGTCTGGAAAAGATTCATATCTGTACTTATTCCAAAGAAAGCTGACTCAACAAAATAAGCAAAGTCTAGAACAATACCATTGCTGTCACATGCATTTAACTGTTTGCTTAAAATCATCCAGCAATGATTGCAGCAGTACATTAACAGGGAGCTGGTAGAGGTGCAGGCCAGATTCAGAAGAGAATGCATAACAATGGATATCATTTCTGATGTCAGATGGATTTGGCTGAAGCAAGAAAAACCCAGAAGGATGTTGGCTGCTGTTTCATTGACTCTGCAAAGACATTTGACTGTGTGGATAATAACAAACTATGGATAGCCTTGAGAAGAATGGGAATTCTACAACACTTAATTGTGCTCATGGAAACCTGTGCATGGATCAAGCGGCAAATGTGCGAACAGAACAAGGGAATATTGCATGCGTTAAAATCAGGAAAGGTGTTTGTAAGTGTTGTATCCTCTTACATACTTATTCAATCTGTCTGCTGAGCAAATCAAAGAGAAGTTGAGTTATGAACAATGTGACAACAGGATTGGATTGGAGGAAGGCTTATGAACAACCTGCTTTATGCAAATCACACAACCTTGTTTGCTGAAAGTGAGGAGGACTCGAAGCACTTCCTGATGGCATCAAGGACTGCAGCCTTCAATATGGAGCATAATTCAATGTAAGGAAACCCAAACCCTCACAATTGGACCAATAAGTAGCATCATGATAAATGGAGAAATGATGGAAGTTGTCAAAGATTTTGTCTTGCTTAGATCCGCAATGAATACTTAGGGAAGCAGCAGTCAAGAACTCAAATGAAGCATTGTATTGCTGTACCATCTGCCTCACAAGACCTCTTTACAGTGTTGATAAGCAAGGATGTTGATTAAGAACTAAAGTGTCCCTGCCCTAAGCCATGGTATTTGCAGTTGCCACATATGCATGTGAAAATTGGGCCCTGAATAAGGAGGAGCTAAGAAAAACCGGTCCATTTGAACTATGATGTTGGTTCAGTGTATTGAAAATACATGGACGGCCAAAAGAAAAACAGGCGTGCTGGAAAAGTACAGCCAGCTGCTCCTTAGAAACAAGAATGGCAAAATGTTGTCTAATGTACTTTGTTATCGGGGGAGACCAGCTCCTGGCGAAGGCCATGATGCGTGATCGTGTGGCGGGGCACCCACCAAGAAGAAGACCCCCGCAGGGCTCCAACAGTGGCACAGACATAGAACAACTGTCAGGATGGCACTGAAGTGGGCAGTGTTTCGTTCTGTTGTCACCATGAGTTGGAACCGACCCAATGGCATCTAACAACAAGATGACCAGAAAATGGCTCAATGACAGTGGGTGAAACCCAGTCATTTTGGGGGAGTTACCATGA